AGACATCCAAGGAAGGCTCACGGTGCTCCCATCCGGTCTCACCGTAGCGAGACTCGACAACGGAAGACCGCAGAATGTGCTCCATCTGCGAAAGGCGCTCATCTAGAGATGGCATAGCGCACTGAATAAGAACCTCGCGGGCCTTGAGAGTAACCTTGGCGGAAGAACGAGCCTCGAGCTCGGTCAACTTCTTGAGGATGGGCTTGAAGTGCGTGCCAACGTTCTCGACGAGGGGCTGGTTGGGACGGTACATGTCCAAAATAGCCAGGACCAGGTTGTTCTTCGAACCGATGCGGCTGTGCGAGAGGACAGTGTGGACAATGCTGGTAATGTCGTCCTTGTTCTCCTCGCGGAGCTTGAGAATGACATCCTCGTCGCGGAGGTTATGGGTGGAAAACAGCTTCTCGACATCGTAGTACTGTTCGAGCAAGCCAATGAACACATTGTACTCGTTGGACTTCAAACCATCCATGTACTTGTTGATGACCTGAACCAGGGGTAAGAGGGTGGTCTTGAGAATCTCAGCGTCGGCAGGGGCGACATTTTCCTCGATGAAGCGAACGATGGCCTTCTGGAGCTGCTTGGCGGGGAACTCGGCCTTGCGAGCCTTGGCACGGTCGACCACGTTCTGGAGCTGGGCATCCAGCCTCTGAGGAATACGAGAGTGCAGCGCAGAGGACTGCGCATTCCACTCTCCGTAGGGAAGATCAGGGTTGCGCAACACCTCAACAAGATCCTTCAGGGTGGTACCCATGATGACCTGGTTGTCGAAACCGCGAAGAATGTTCTCCAGAATGCTGTGGAGCAGGAAGAAGCGCTGGGAGGGCTTGTTACCGAGAATGGTAGGCGAGCCAAGCTCTGGCAGCTGACCAGTGAAGGGCTGAGCGTGCTTGACGCGGGAGGGGTCATCCAGGGCGAGGATACCGAGGATGTCGCCAGCCTCCAGAGTGGCACCGGGCTGCTTGATGAGCTGCACGATACCATCCTCCTTTGCGATGAGGGGCATGTACATCTTCATAACCTCAACTTCGGCGTAAGACTGACCAGAGCGGATGTGCTCTCCATTCTCGACGGTGAACTTGACAAGCTTACCGGGGGAGGGGGAACGGAGTTGAGTAGGATCGTTCTCCTGCTCCAACAGGCAGGTCTTGCCGTCGACACTGAGACGGGTAGCAGCAGCCTCCTCCTTCCAGTAAACGTTGTGACTGCGGCCACTGAGGAGAACCAGCAATCCACCATCAGCCAGGGCGCGAACACCGACTGAGCACTTGGAGCCGTTGATGAAAAGGTGGTAGCTGTCCAAGCTGGCACGAGTGGCGGTGAACTTGTAACGCTCGCCTTCGTAGATGAAGTCGACGGGGAAAACAGTCTTCAGGATCTCCTTGGACGGAACCTGACCCTTTCCTAGACCATTGCGGTACTCCTCAATACCAGCCTCGCTGGCGAGGTGCGCCTTGGTTACGGCACCACAAATGATGGCGACGATCTGATCGGGGCGCTCAGCAGTCAGCTTGTTAGAGATGAGCTGGTCGAGCCATCCAGTGGTGATGGTGTTGTCCTCGAAAGCGGGGGTTTCGAGAAGCTTGATCAGGTACTCGACAGTGGTTCGGAAATCACCACGAATGCTCAATTCCTTCAAAGCAACGACCATGTGCTTGCGCGAAGCGGATCGGTTTTCGCCGTAGGCGAAAATATGGCCGAATTGACTGTCGGAGAAGCTGTGGATACCACCAGCAGTACCGACAGAGAAGTAACCCCAGACGTTTGACGAACTGCGGAAGTTCAGCTCGTGCATGGTACCGCTGGACGGCTTGAAGCCCTCGCCGGGATCTTCGGAGGTGATACGGCAAGCAGTGGTGTGACCCTTGGGCTGAGGACGACGTTGGGTCTGGAAGCTCTCCTCCTTCGAGAAGTCGAAGTCAATGTCGGCGGAGGCGTTGGGGTCGACACCGTAAAGTAGGCGAATGTCGCGAATGCGGTGCAGGGGGATACCCATAGCAATCTGGAGCTGGGCGGCGGGCAAGTTGACTCCCGACACCATCTCAGTTGTAGGATGTTCGACCTGCAGACGAGGGTTCAACTCGAGGAAGTAGAACTTGTCATCGGAGTGCGAGTAGAGGTACTCGACGGTACCGGCGGAAACGTATCCGACCAACTTTCCAAGGCTCACGGCAGCGCGCTCCATGGCCTGGAAGGTGGGCGGTTTCGCAATAGTCACAGGAGCCTCCTCGATAATCTTCTGGTGACGACGCTGAACGGAACAATCACGACCGAAAAGGGAAATGTTGTTGCCGTACTGATCAGCCAGCAACTGCACCTCGAGATGGCGAGCGTTGCCAGCCAGCTTCATGATGAAGATAGGCGACCCCGGAATCTCGTTGGCGGCGGCATTGTACAAGGCGGGGAACTCTTCCTCGTTCTCGACCTTTCGGATACCCTTACCACCACCACCTTCAGAGGCCTTGACCATAACAGGGAAACCGATTTCCTTAGCCTTCGCCAAACCCTCTTCCGGCGAGAAGGTGCACCCTTGGTTGTAGACCTCGTCCTCGACTGTCACGATACCATTTTCATCGAGCTTCACGGCGTCAACACCGGTTCCAGACCAGGGAATACAAGGCACACCGGCGTGCTGTGCAACAATGGTGGAGGAGATCTTGTCGCCAAGCGAGCGCATGGCCGAAGCTGGGGGTCCAATGAAGATGATCTTCTTCGGCGACGCAGCGAGAGATTCGGGTAACCGAGGGTTTTCGGAGGCGTGACCCCTACAAGATGAGCATCAGCATTTCGTTCCATCCTTCTTTTCTCCTCCTTCACAATATCTCCAAAACACTTACCATCCTGCCCACACCGCGTGAACATCCATCCGCTCCGCAACATCGACAATCAACTCGACGTTGGCATAATTATTATTATTGGTTCCACCGGGAACCTCGACGTATTGGTCGGCCATGCGAATATAGTCGGCGTTGGCGGTCAAATCTTCGGGCGTGGCCATCACAGTGAATTGGATAGCCCGCTCGTTGCCAAAAGTCTCGTAGGCCCATTTCCGCACTGAGCGAATCTCTTTGACAGCGGCGATACCGTTATTGGCAATAAGCACCTAGGAACGAGTCAGCTCCACGTTCAATTTCCCTTCTCTTTTGCCGCAATCACGGCTGTCCTTTCGATTTCCCGCTTACCGATGTGATGACGGAGTGACCATCGTGGGCGGCCACGAAGTCCTTCACAGCGCTAGGGGGTGCTGATTCGAGGGCGTTGCCACCGATGAAATGTGAGGGGAGGTCATGTTTGGCGACAGTCGAGCCATTGCCATTTGTGATACCCATGATGTCGATAATCACAAGTCAGAGCCTTAAAGGAATTGGCGTTCTGCTTCCGCGCGGTATGCAACTGCGCTGATTAAAAGGTAATGTACAATGCTGCAAGCGGCGGAAAGAGCCCGAGTGGTGGATGGGGGCAGAAAAAAGTAAGGTAGAGAGAGAGAGAGAGAGAGAGAGAGAGGAGAAGCGAGAGAAGAGAAGGATAAGCGTCAGGAATGAGCTCTGGAGGGGAAGGAAGGCCAGGTCAGCATGTGTAATTGGCTTGAAGATGTCAAATGCGGAATTGGTCTGCAGGATTGTCGAGTTCGCAAACGGATACGAGAAAAGGTACGATGTCAGACTCACCGGGAACCACCAAAAACCCGAACAGAAACTTTATATAAAATTGAAGATAGAAATTGAAGAGATTCAGAACTTCTTCAATAATTAAAAGTCCAGGGGAAAAATTGCTGAGAAGATGATTTTCTGGAGGTCCCACCAAGTGGAGATGATCCCAACTGGCTGTGATTGATTTCCCTAAATGGCAGAGGACACATGTACCTGTCCATAGTTAACAGTATGGAGAGGTACTTGTCCAGGAACGGGACCCCAACTTCCTGGCTTTGTTGGGCCAGGTTCCACTACAATCTGTTGCTCACCACTTCTGCTGTTGTATTTTTTATTTTTTATTTTACTTTTTCTATAGAAATAGAGAATCGAACGTTGAAGAGACCAATCCAGTCTTTGCTATTATAGTTATTACCAAATATGGAGGGGTATCTCATCTAGGTAGATAAACTCCGTACTCCGACGGACTATACATATACCTAAAGGAGTTCTTATACTCCGTAGTCTCACCCATGTTGCACTCCGTAAGCTGATACTTCCCCACGTCCCGGCACATTTCGACACCGGATTCGGTCAGCAATTCAATTCGGAGAGCGAGTTTCTTTTTCTTTTTCTTTTTCAAAATTCAATAGCAATGCCATTGTTAAAACTTGGAAATATTCCAAGGTCAAATTGTTTAAACATAAAACATACTATACTGATATAGTCTAATCTTATATCCATGCTGCAATCTAGAATCTTTAACCAAAAATATGCTCCACGCCGTTGCCAATCTGAGAATGGCGCACACGCTATCCCAATTCGGCCAACCTGCATAATTCAACACGATCAGCCTTCCAAGATTGGTATAAATTGCGTACAGAAAAATGCTCGTAGACCAATCATATCCATGACCATATCACAACTCACCCCATTATTCCCGAAGCCATGGATCACCATAGCTCAACTCTACATCAAAACAAGTATATTAAGTATATTGTACGGAGTATATCATACAATGTTATAATTTGTAGCATAACATCATGGGTATTATTGGATCTTGAATGAAAAGACAATCGCTGAGACACAGCTTAGGACGTCCCCAGAATCCACCGGGGCCACATCGCACACAAACAAACCAGGCCTGGCTGGTCCAAGACAAGTCAACATGCAAGACTGTACAGGAAGGGAGGTGACCAGAGCGGTCTGCAGGGAAGGCCCCTCACTCCTCTTGTAGAATGCAGTCGATCAAGGTCGATCTTGGATGTATGTATGTAAAATAAACGTTGAAAAATAACCTTTAGCGCACAATCACCCGTTCACTAAACCCCAATCCAAATTCCATAAATACTAAAGGCGAAAAAGGACGAATTAAAAGGTCTCTCCCAGGTCGCTGACTTGGGTCTTCCTGTTTGGCGGCGGCGGCATGGTACCAGGTCCGATGCTGGTCTTGAAGCCTCGGGGAGCCGGGATGCCGCTGATGGTTCGCTTCTTGACTATGGGCGTGGGGGTAGTAGTCACGGATGGACGTTGGATCTCCTGAGAGATGCGGGAGGTTGTTGGCGTTGCAATGTCTTGGTCCTCGTCGATGAGTGACATGCCGGCGATGTTAGGGAGTTGGCCGGCATGATTGCTGAGAGATGACCGAGGTCGCCGGCCCTCTGTCATAGGGTTTGTCGAGTAGTGACCCAGTGGCGTTTTCGCCCCGGGACGACTGGAACGACTTTCGGGACGGGCATTTGCCGGGACACCCGAGTGCACGCTTTGGCTGAAGGAGCTGCGGCTAGAGAAACTAGTTCGGCTGCTCGGACGACTCTCGCCTGTCCGTCCAAATGACTGGCGACCCTGTGGGGGGTAAGACGGAGTACTTTCACTATCCCGCGCCGAGGAACCAAGGCTACTATTGCTCTGCCGCTTGCGAGAATCCCTGCGAACAGTCATCGACGAGGGGACGATTGGGGTGTCGCTGATCACAGACCCAGAGCGAGGGGATCCGCGAGAGGAGGTGTCAGACGGGGCGGGAAGTCGCGATTTGGCTGATTGGACGCGCTCTTCGAGCTTCTGCATCTTACCAATCAGGCCGCGGATCTGGAACAGTGAGCCAGACTTGGGAAGCCCCGGTGGCCGCGAGGTGTTCATTCTCGTCAAACTATTGCGAGATGAGATCGACATGGAGGGAGTTGACCGACCATTGCCACTGCCATTACCATTGCTGGTGCTATATGCGCCATTGCTGTAAGCGAGAGATGGGGTTCTTGAATGAGTGGTGCGCGGTTGAGTCCGAGCGTGAAGGGTTCTAGAGTTCACTGGATCTGCGCCAGCGGCTCTCTGTCGAGGGAATGTAGGGGTGGAGTTTGCGTGGGCGTTGATCGACTTGCGCATGTTCACAGACGACTCGGAGATAGGGGGCGAAGGTGGGGTAGCGGTAGACGACGCAAGGGATGATTTAGCGGGGGGTGTGGCAAATACTGGGGAAGATGTAGCGGTGCCAGGCGAACGGTCAAAGATCTCCAAACTCTGTGGAGTTGCCGGACTGCGATGGTACAGAGGAGTAGGCTTGCGGCGGCGCATCCCATGTCCTTCAGTATTTCGAAGCTTCTCTTGGATGATCTCGGTCTCAATCTTCAGATCCGACAGCTCGTCCCGGAGGCGTTGGTTATCAATGCGCAGCTGCTCCCGTTCCTGCTCCCCGTTTCTTATTTCCTCCTCTAGCAAAACCCCGCGCTCGATGCCGATGTTGTATTTGGACTCCATGTCCTCCAGGGACGAGGTGGTGTTCCGCGCTTGGCGCTCGTAGTCATCGTTGGCAACTTCAATATCTCGAAGCTTGAGCTGCAAAGTGCGGTTCGCTTCTCGCAGTGTTGTGATTTCTTTCTGCAAGTTGTTCTGCACAGAGTTGCCTTCGGTTTTCGACTGCTTGTATTTGCTCTGCCCGCACAATGTTAGCGCCCGCACAGTTTTGAGCAATGAGCATGGTCCCTTACCTTCCACTCGTCGACTTCATATCGCATCGTGTCGAGCTTTTCCTTCAGCTGCCGCTCCCGCTTCTCCGAAGCTTCAATGTCCTTCTCCATCTCAGTCTCCAGCTCCCGGCTGGAGGACTGAAAGTCCGCAAGCTCCGCCTCAAGTATCTCATACTGGGCTTTGTAATGAGCCAGTTCATCTCTGTAAGAGCTGCTCGTATGCTTCCGTTCGGAAGTTGACTCATCGACGGCCGGCATCTTCTCGCGTTGGGCACCCAGAGGACCGGTCGCAATGAAGATGTCTGGACGACGAGTGTCGTCCAAAATTGGCGAAAGTCAGCAGAGACTGTACACCAGCCTGTCTTGCCCTGCAGGTCGCGCCAGCCCCTCTCAAAGACTCATATGTTGTGTGGTGGCCCGATGTCAACAACCGTGCGTTGTGATAAGAGCCCCTCGCCGAGGCGGTGACGCAAGGGATTGATCGCGGTACCTGATAATGTGTCCCTTCACAGAGAGAGGAAGAGAAGATCCAGGATGTGGCGAGCTAAGATGTGCAAAACTGGTTTACCTTCGACCCGCCTCGTGTCGAAAAGCGGGTTTAGATTAGATCGGGCTGGGAGAAACCGATGTTGTTGTTTCGGTCGTCAGGGGGGGCCGGTAAATACGCTAGTCCTCATTTGGCAGATCTGGGCTCAGCCACCCACCGCTCTTTTGGTGCGTTAAGGCAGAGACTTTCTGCCCCAGGCATCTTAAGGCACCAATGTGGAGCTAAGCCTCATTTGGAGCTGAAAGTGATCCTGATCGACCTCAGCCCGTGATCTGGACTCAGCAGTCTCCAGTCTCCAGTCTTTAGGTCTCTAGGGCGATCAAGTCGGAGAGGTAAGTAGCTTTGTCTACCTCTCAATATTTGCTCTAGAACCCTCTGTGAGCTTCTAAGCTCTAAGAACATGTGTTTGTTGCCTCCAGACACTACCCTGGATGTTATACCCACGCACGCTGTTCTTAAGATCGCTGATCATCCTGTTTGCTTCCACGCACTTGTTTACCCCCGATTACTCGCAAGCTCCATCTGTCTACCCCAGGTTTGAGGCGCATCGACTAAACATGGGATGATGGTATGACATCTGAACTTACAGTTTCCGTCCTTAGATAGATCCCCTTCAGTGAGGCTAAGGCCCAACCCGATCTATCACCATGGCAGACTCGACCGATCTCAACCTTGACGATGCGCCCAGCGACCTTCAAGATATTCCGGAGCTGGCAATGCAATTGGTTCCCCCTCCGGAAGGAACATACCCTGACAAGTAAGTTCTTCCCCGCCATCGCCCCTTGCTTAGTAGGACCAATATCAACAATTTATCTCTGCAGAGCAACTCTTCTCGCCGCAGTTCAGGACCATGGCAAGGAACATGGCTACAATGTGGTTGTTAAGTCGTCGAGCACGCCCACAGAGAAGAAACCTGGCCGCACCGCCAAGGTATGGCTGCGTTGTGATCGTGGCGGCCACTATCGGCCACGGAACGGCCTGACTGAGGAAACGCGCAAGCGCCGGAGAACCTCGCGGTTGATGGATTGTCCTTTCATGCTAGTCGCAGCCGGCTCCCCGGGTATCTGGACCCTAACGGTGCTAAATGCGGCGCACAATCATGGTCCTATTATCGAGAAGCCGCGACAGGTGCCTCACCACAAGGTCCGCAAGGGTCAGCTGCCAGCCATCCCATACGATTGGCCCCATGATGCTTCGTTCACCCCATACACTACTGCGCTTGTGATAATTGACATGCAAAAGGACTGTGAGTATTTCGGACTTTTACCACTGTCAGTGGATCATGTGGCTGATTTTCTCGTAGTCTGTCTGTCCGAAGGATACATGGGATATCAGGGCTATGATATTTCTGCCGCGCAGGCTTTGATTCCCCGCCTGCAAAGATTGCTCCATGCTTTCCGCTCTGGGGGTTTCCCGGTCTATCATACTCGCGAGGGTACTTAGTCTCTCGTTCTTAACTCCTAACATGCTTTTACTAACTCATATCAGGCCACCGACCCGATCTATCTACTCTCTCGAGTCGTGAGGCATACCGGTCCCGTAACAACGCGTCCGGCTTGGGTATTGGTTCCCCCGGCCCCATGGGCCGTCTGCTTATCCGTGGTGAACTGGGCCATGACACTGTTGACGAATTGTATCCTCTCCCCGGTGAGCCGGTCATTGACAAGCCCGGCCGAGGTGCCTTTGCGCACACCGACTTTGAGCTCCTCCTTCGCAACAAGGGAGTTAAAAACCTCGTCATTGCAGGTGTGACCACCGACGTCTGCGTCTCGACGACCATGCGCGAAGCTAACGACCGTGGCTTCGACTGCGTCGTTCTAGATGACGGTACTGCAGCCGCCGAGCCGTCGCTGCATCTGGGCACCATGCAATCCGTTAAGATGGAAGGCGGAATCTTTGGAACTGTTGCCAAGCTGGAAGATGTCATTCACGCTGTCGATAATTTCAAAACTGTCACCATGAAGAAGCTGGCTCCTCAGATGACCGTCTAAGTATGTACTATTTGATTTAGCGGGTTGGCTTTAGACGCTGGAATTGGAAGGAATTTCCCCGGCGTTTTGGACTGGAGTTACCTCTTTTCTGTTGAGATGCTGCAGCGCGCATACTCGTCGCTTTTCTTTTTCGAACCTCTTCTTTTGTTAGGTTTTAGCGGGCAAGGGATCTCATTGACTCCAAATAGTGTCATTTTCTGCCAACCACTTTAAGCGCAGAACAACAGTCATTTGCAGTTCTAGTTCAATTGTTCAATTTATCGTGTTAAATCAGGAATAACAAGCACGCTTTCATTTGTGTTACATTACACACTAGATAATCAATCCCATCAATGGCCTGTAAACTGGTGTCTCTGAGCAGGTGAAAACAATAGAATAGATACAGAGAAAGAACCAATCCCCAAAAGAATACATGCCCGAGAAACGCCACGCTCATGAAGTACAACTACCAAGAGACAAGTCAGACTATAGCCATTTTTTCCCTGCAGCAGTAACCCGCGTTCTGAAAACAGGGCTCTTGATCTCCATTCCCTGCTTATAGAACGGACTCATCGCCGTCTTGACATAGTTCTCGTATACCTCGTTCATGAACTGGCGCACGGCCTCTTCGGTCTGCGGGGAGGTCGGGTTCGCTGCGATAGAGCTGGATGAGGCGCGTGTGGTGGATCCTGCTGTGCCTAGCAGTGAGGAGGAACCAAGGCCGCTGCTTGTGCTGGTTGAAGAGGGGAGGTTCGGGGGTTGGTGGAGGAGCAGGAATCGCGCGCCACTTGGAGTGAGGAAGGCTGTAATGTAGGCTGCTGCTGGTGGGTAGGTGTCGATATGCTTCAGGTACCTTTTGCGACAATGTTAGCTTTGGGGTCGGAGGTTTGAAGTGGGGTATACAGCGTGTGTAATTGCGCCTGGGGGGTTTCCTCTGTATTCATACAGGCTCTCGGGAATTCAAGCTCAGGTTCGAGCCAGTTTGCAGATGCCATTTGAATATAGAATAACTTATTAGACTCACATTCCACCATTGGTCCATTGCGCTTCTTCCAATATGTCCAGACTTGAGTGGATAATGAACTGGTTCATGTACTGCGCAGTCTCCGGGAAGCGGAAGCGGGCAATGCCATCACCACCCCCCTTTGATGTACCAAAGGCGATGTTGAACAAAGGCGTGTCTGTAGGTGATAGAATGGTGAAGTAGTACGACATTTTGAGCAGACTGGGATTATTCAGGGTGGAGATGGACCAAAGGACGGCCGAGGAGCTGGGGATTGCGGCTTTACTAGCGGCCGCCATCACGTGAACGATAAGAAATGAGCTCGCCCAGGTGAAGATGATGTATACACTTTTGATATGATCGACTTGAAAGTTGAAAGATATCGTGTGAGAACGCAAATTTCTGGCTTTTTAAGGTAGTTCAAGTTGACCTTCGCACTGTCTTCAAAGAACTTTTGAGTGTGATGTCTTGTCCAAGCCCGGTCCTCAGCGATTATATATCTTTGCACATACAACCTAGAACTAGATTCGCACAAAGTTTTAATGATATGGTTGAGCCTGGCTATTCAACCAGCTCAAAAAGTACATATTTACTAACATCTAATTAATATCTCTTAATGACCAAGGCAACATTACCTTGCGCTTGGTATGTATAGCTCCGATCTCCCCGCAAAAGCCACCAGCACGTGATCGACTGATAACAGGGCTCTATCGCGGTCGATCGCTGTCGCAACTTTTGACCTCGACAAGCACCTCCCGCCAGACAACAAGTGCCATTGCTATTTATGCGAGTACATAAAGCCCTGGAACTGCTTGGAAAACTTGAGTTCCAATATGCCGGCAAATCTCCCTTACGGATTGAACCTTCCGAACAAAAGTCTCGCGGCGACGAAACCGGGGAATGCACTCGGGCAGAAAAGGAAGAACATTTTCGACGACGACTCCGAAGATGAAGGCCAGCAAACTGGCGATGGTGCGATTGAAATCTCAACCATTGGAGGGCTAGAGGAGCCAGCCACGAAAAAGAAACCCCCGCCAAGCGCAGGGCCACCGCCGAAACGCAAAATCCAATTGGGTAGCGGTCCCAAACCAACGGCCAAACCGCTCAGCAAGAACTCGCTATTTGCAGACGACGAGGATGAAGACGAAGAAAGAGAAAAAGAGCAACAAGGCGCAATCAATCTTGGATTGAACCAGGCGAAGTCGAAAAAGCCAGCCGCCCCTGCCCAGAAATACATCAATCTCGCGTCCATGCATAGCAGCAACATGCAGGCGAAGGCAGCCGAAGAACTTGACCCATTGATCTACTCATACGATGAAGTATACGACAGTTTGCACGCCAAACCCGCTAAGGCCTCAGTGGAAACCAAGAGCGACACACCTAAGTACATGCAGAACTTGCTACAGAGTGCGGAGATCCGGAAACGGGATCAACTGCGGGCTAAGGATCGCCAGCTAGCCAGGGAGCGCGAAGCCGAAGGTGATGAGTTTGATGACAAGGAGAAATTTGTCACGTCTGCCTACAAGGCGCAGCAAGTGGAACTGCGGAAGGCGGAGGAAGAGGAAGCACGCCGTGAAAAAGAAGAGGAAGAACGCCGCAAAAAGAGTGGCGGCTCCGGCATGATTGGATTCTACCGGGACGTTCTGTCACGAGGAGAAGCACGGCACGAGGAGGTCATTAAGGCTGCGGAAGAAACTGCCCGCCGCGTCAAAGCAGGCGAGATCATCCAGAAGGCGGAGGATAAAGAGGATAAGACGGATGCGCAGAAGGCGGAGGATCTCAATGCCCATGGAGCTCGGGTTGTTGTGAACGATGAAGGCCAAGTTGTCGACAAGCGCCAGCTGTTGTCTGCAGGACTGAATGTGGCACCAAAACCGAAAGCTCAAGCATCTGCTTCCAAAGCAGGACCTTCACGGCCTACCGCTGGACGACCGGGTGCCGGTGCTGGTTACCAGGGCGGCCGTGCTGCCCAGCGAGCTCGGCAGACCGACATGGTCGCAAGCCAATACGAGGAGCGTGCGCGACAAGAAGAGGAGGCTGAGGCTGCAAAGCAAAAAGAAATTGCCGAAAAGAGCCGCAGTCGCAAGACGGAGAAAGATGTGTCCAGCGCCAAAGAGCGGTATCTGGCAAGAAAGAGGGAAAGAGAAGAGGCTGCTGCCAAGGAGAAATCGAAGGGGGCCTAAGTGTATGCCGAAAGGTGAGCTGGATGTGTTGCATCCATGGAATTTTGGAGACCAATTATTGCATAGCGCTGGGGAGAACCTTTTGTACGTTACTCATGATACCAAAAAGAGACTCCGACTTTGAGTCATAAGGCTGTTTGCTATTGATGATCCGTGGCAGGTCCCAGGTAATAAGAACTGCGTAAACTCTAGTTGATAATATAAATATGTAATAACTGCTTGACCCTGCTCTGAGTTCCTTCTCTTTCTTTCAACCATCAATTCCCGCTACTATAACACTCGGTAAGTTCTATCGTCATACTCAGCCATACTCTGTACACCTCGGAGAAACCATCGCCAAGACTCCTTAACCCCGGCTTATCTCATCAACTTGCCCTCAAATCACATGACCCCACACGGGCTGAGTTAATCCGGACCGAAAGCACTCGCTAAGCCGCCCCACACAGGTCGCACTCCCAATTTTGCACTCCCAATCGAGATTCAAGAATCGCTTCATCACCAAACCACTTCCATCTCCCGTTAATCAACGTCAATCATCCAATATGGGTAAGGTTCACGGCTCTCTCGCCCGTGCCGGTAAGGTCAAGGCTGCCACTCCTAAGGTGAGTTCTCTTCGATTTCCAGCCAACGCCACTCGATACACGACCGCAGTGGCCATCCATCCGACCAGTCTTTTAACGACAATTTTGTATCCAGGTCGAGCCCCAGGAGAAGAAGAAGAACCCCAAGGGTCGCGCCTACAAGCGTGTTCTCTACACCCGCCGTTTCGTCAACGTTACCATGACCGGTGGCAAGCGCAAGGTACATATCGAATGACTCACACCCACACACAAACCGCACCCAAGAACAACGCACATTCCGCAAAATATCAACAACCACACCACAAATACCGAAAATGAAGGACAGAAAAGGCTGACCAGTCGCGAAATGCAGATGAACCCCAACCCCGGCCAATAGATTATTCAAGTCGTTAAAACAACCACCTGAGCCGCGATCGGCTAGTCGAGTTCTACGATGAAAAATCTTCGCATGACCACGGCACGACCACGGCCCAAACGAACGAAAGCACACCAGATACGGCTGGTACTTGTACGGATGATATCACGCTTCTTCGTCTTCACTTGAATTTTTTTTTGCTGGCAACGAATGGGTTTTTTTTTGGGAGGTTGATTCGAGGAAATGGATGAATACCCATGGCGGTCTGAGGATGGAAAGCTGTGGCTGGATGCGAGCTGTCTACGGGCAGTCTTCGCAGGCTAGACTTCAGAGTCACTTTTCGACTCATTTCATAGACTGTTTCATGAATTGCATTTCCGATCCAGAAATGGACTCTACCTCTTTTTCCATGCTTTTCGGGGTTATCTCTACCTGAGACAGTGCCTAGGGGCATCCTTAGAGCTTGTACTTCTTAGATGTCTGCCTCTTTAGGGCTGATGTTGGAGTTGTAGAATGGATCAGACAGACTCGTCCGTGCGGGACTCAGCCCCTGTGCGGTTTGGCCTGTTAATCTCCCAACAACAATATAGTGTATTATAAACCCCGCAGCGGCTGTATATTTAAGTATGCTCTAGAGTCCTGATGTTGCCCCACACGTGTCAGAGCTCACCAGCGTATAGTCCAAGTGCTCGTGCCCTTTCAACTTCTGTGTCGCGATTTGGAGCCCCACGTCATGAGAAATGCGGGGACTAACAGAAATTGGCAAATCTTTCCGCTTTAACTTGTTCAAGAGAATGTCCAAGGATGGAGCAGAAGGATTCAGGACACTTTTTATACTAGCACCTACATGGATAATCACCTACATGGATAGCTGGCCTCTGTCTTGACAACGTGGGATTTCAATAATTTGATGTAGTTGGCTCAAATGATATTACAGACATAGGAGACCTTATATTTGTGGTACTACGATGTCTTCTCACATGTTCTCTTAGGTGTCTTTTTTCCCTTCTTATTTTAGAGCTAGAAGGATGGCTGCGAATCGCGAAATACTTGCGGTGAAAAGCTCGATTCCTATAAAATCTTCTCCCATGTATAACATGTATTTGATGTCACTAGTGTCTGCTATACTAAGTAGAGCAAGGTTCACTAGAAGGAAATCTTGGAAAGTAAAGGGAAAAAGCACCTGGAGACTAGAGAAAGTGATTAGGAGTGGTTTGGACTGGTCCCATCCCTTGATACTACAAAAGTAGTGTATAATATTAGGATAATAGGCTTAGATGGAAGCACGCATGAACGCAAATAGCTTCCTATGATCCCACACGTGACTGTGTTGGTTGTCAGATGGCCGCACTTCCTAATGATAGGGACAATCCTCATTTTAGACTGAGAAGCTGGAGATCTTCTGGGCATGCTGGGTCCATGTCATGACATAAATGGCGGATGTTCCCGCGGTTCTTTGGCATAATGATCACCCATAAATAAAGAGGCATGACCTCACCAACTCGATGCCGGGTCATCCGGAGATAATGAGTGAACATGTTTGGTAAAATGACCGAACATTCCAAAGCCGAGACGCCCATGGATCAACGACTCCCAAGGTCGATTTAAGGTTGTCGGGGGGGGGTGACTAAGGGGATATTTGGCCAGTCGCCGACTTCAATCCTGACCTCCACATCCACTTGAGATAAATATGGGACACAACGAGCGACATGTCTAATCGTCAGACAGCGGGGAAAAGAATGGCTTAGTAGCCATTAAGTTCAACCAGAGCTAATTGTCCCAAACTCTTCGTGTCTACCCCACACATTACAATGACATCGATTGAACTCAATTCCGCCTCCTTGACTGTTTGGGCTGATTCTACATATTGTGATACTACAAGGCACAATCCAATGTCGGGTCTACGTGATACTTAGGCCAGAAGTTGCAAAGCAATGATGGTTCGCATGCTATCCTAATCCGTAATCTCAACTGGAGAATAAAGGAATATCGGATACAAAGCGTCAGAACCTGGAGTGGACACCAGCTGCTGGAAGATCCACCTATCCCGCTCCCTCCCGATGGTTGAGCATCATCGATTCTGATATTATTTTGTACCATGACATCAAGCTCCCATTTGCTTTCTTGGATCAGGCTGCGGGCCTTGGAATCCAAGCAAAGGCATGGGATGCCCCAGCTGAATACCGAGCAAGCTGTTCCCTCATGCGCTCAGTTTCCTTGGAACCCAGTTCTGGATATGAGGGTCGTGCGGGCATCACCAAAATAATTTCATGATGCAATGAGGAGGATGATGCTTGCTAATATTATTTAGGTACCCCCGGGCCCCAAATCTGGCTCGGTTCCCTTTCCCTGTACTATATCTACTTACTTTGAACGCTGAACAAACAACGACTGAATGACGTTACTTGATTAATTTTTATCTTTACGATCGACCTATTGTTAATATATTCAAGCACCACTTTACCACCCATCACCATGCTCGCTAAGGCCAAGGGAATCATCGATAGAAGCTCATCCATTCGCAATGAAGTCAAGCAAGGCAATTACAATGGCGCCAAAGACATCGTGACCAAAGGTCAAACCACCAAAGAATCGACCAGCCAGGGTGACAAGGCCAATGAGAACGTCGATAGAAGCTCGTCCACCCGCGATGGAGTCAACCAAGGCAATTCCAACAGCACCAAGGAAACTAGCACCAAAGGTCAAACCACTAAAGAATCGACCGGCCAGGGAGCTATCGGAGGAGTGGTCGGCGGAGCATCTGGCAGCGCTGCTGGAATGAACAAAGAAGACCTTAATAAGGAGAATGACCAGGAGACCGGAAAGCAAATCAGCAAAGGAGCAATTGGACAAGACAACGCCGGCACCTCCTCTGCTGGCGGAACGAAAGTAGAGCAACGAGATGTTGACAACGAGAAGCGAGAAGCTGGCCAGAAACAGCGAAACAGCACCAATGCAAATGAAGTCACTGGCTCTAAGCGGTATGACCGCAGAGGCAGTGTGGCTGCCGGAGAGCTTGAACCCAATTACGACATCCGCAAGGGCCCCATCACCATGCCGGGCACTTTCCAAGAAAAGAATTTCCACAATGCAGGCGGCAAAGAGACTCTCGTTCAGAGAGGAACCAGCAGCAAAGGAATATCCCGCGGAGAAAATACGGAAAATTCTCCTAAGGTTTCCTTCATGGGAGCAGGAAGCGGCAACGACGCCAGCTTAAACCAAGAAAAGACTGGAAACCCCATTGCTGGAGGTGACTTGAGCAAGGAGTCTCTTGAAAAAGAGATCCATGACTATGAAAACATCAGCCCTGACGTCTTTAGCGATGAGACCACCAGTAAAGACCTGTCCAAGAAAGCTGCTGATCAGGACGTTGGAAAGTACCATATCAACAGAAAGCAGCTCGAAAAGCAGGGCTCTCAGCCTTCCCAGAAAGCAGGGGCAAGCGAAGCTGCTGCCGCCGGTGGCGGCTATGGTATGAGTAAAGGAGCTACCAACCAGACCTCTACCACTAAAAAGCAGAGCAAGAGACATTCCGTCTCTGGGACGAACGCAACCAGAGCCCAAGACCTGGCTTCCACAAACCGAAAGAGTCAGGTTGCTTCCACCATGGGAGAACAGGGCTGTGCTGGTGGACAAGGTGTGGCCGCCTCAAACTCGACGAATAAGGGGGGCTATACTTATGCCCGTGCGGTGTCAGATCAAGGCTACACCCCCAAAACCCCGACAAACACAGGCTATTCTACCACCAGTGGATCCAACCAAACAAGTGGTCTACGCTCTACCACTACGGGCCAGACAAACAACGCCCTCTTCGATACCGGCACCACTGGATCGAACAAAGCAGGTGTCGCCGATGGAGGAGCTCTGGGACTTCACCAAGACGGTAGCTATGGTTTATCCAGCAATGACAGCAGCGGAGTCGACCAAGGAAGCGTCATCGGCGCAGGAGGAACTCGGCACGTTGGTGCCTATGATACCTCTAGCAATGGCGGCTTCAGTGGAGCCAGCCACGCTAGCTCCGGCACCAAGAGCGGCGCCGGGAATGGGGCGACCTCGAAGCGCGCTGTCAGACAGTTGAGCGGCAGTGGCTACAAGCTCACTGTCCTCCAAGAGAAGGTTCAGGCTGTGTCTCATAAGTGCAAGGCTCAGCTGGGCCTGTCTTCCAGCCAGATCAGCAAGCGCAGCCCTAACGTGGATGCTTTCTTCGATGGCGTTGCAGCTGAACGTCTCCGCTGGATGCCGCGTGATGGTAGCAGACTCGATTGCAGCCTCAGATGGGCGTCCAGACTGGCGTATGCAGTCGACGCTCTTCGGGAGTCCGTCGGACCCTTCGCGCCTGCTGCCAATGAGGCCGCATCGCTCATTTGGGGATTCTCTATCCTCCTGCTGGAGGTGAGTCAAGGTGACTGGGGAACAATTCTGGATATGAATACTAACTAGTTTCATAGTCTGATATGGACAACACAGATGTCTTCGAGAGCGTCTTTGGCCGGTACGGCCGGGTCGCCGTCGGTATCTACTTGCTTCTGCAGTATGAGATCGCGTACAAATCCGCCTCCGAACTCCAGCCATATGTTGCGGCAGTCTTTGCAGATTTGCTTGAGATGGTCAGCAGCACCGCTATAAGCTGTGTCGAGGGATTCAAAAGCAAAGAGTCCGATCAAATCATCGGACGCAACGTTGATGCCGCTTTTGTGACATACGCCAAGCGCTTTTCTACCCACTGGAACTGCGTTGTCGATGCCCACACCGCGAAACTCGTGGAGGGCAGCTCCCTGATATACTCCTCGCCTGATCTGGGTAGTTTGCGTCAATTCCTGGGAGTGCAGGACCGCCCTCTCCAGTTTATCCTCGACTCTCGCGCTCACTCGCTTGCTGAGGGATCGTTTGAGTGGTTCAACAACACGCTCTACGACTTCAGTGTCGCAAGCTCCCCTGTCATGCTAATCTCAGGTGGTCCTGGCTCGGGAAAGAGTGCACTGGCGCAATGGACGGTCGAAAGACTACAGGAATCGGCTGAA